AGTAGTGGTAATAGTAGTAGTATTAAAAGTAGTAGTAGTAGTAGTAGTAGTAGTAGTAGTAGTAGTAGTAGTAGTAGTAGTAGTAGTAGTAGTAGTAGTAGTAGTAGTAGTAGTAGTAGTAGTAGTAGTAGTAGTAGTAGTAGTAGTAGTAGTAGTAGTAGTAGATGTCTTTTGGGAGCCTCTTGGAGAGCCTTGGAGCCTCTTGGCCTTTGGCCTGGGGCGTCTTGGGGCGTCTTGGGGGCCTCTTGGCGGCCCCAGGGGCTTCTAGGAGCGTCTTGGGTGCCTTGGGGGAGCCTCTTCGGGCCTCTTGGGAGCCTCTTGGAGGCCGTTTGGGGCGTCTTGGGGGCCTCTTGGCGGCTCCAGGGGCTTCCAGGAGCGTCTTGGGTGCCTCGGGGGAGCCTCTTGGGGCCTCTTGGGGGCCTCTTGGGGGCATCTTTTGGGGGCCTCTTGGAGGCCTCTTGGGGCCTCTTGGGGCTCTTTGGGAGGGGTCTGGGAGGTATCTTGGGGCCATCTTTCGGGCGATCGATCACAGCTGGGGCGAGCACTTTTCTGCCTCCCCCTGTCGGGGCCAGAATCCTCGTGAGGGGTGTTGAATTTTAGCCCTCCCAGGGATAGAAAAAGGACCCTCTGACCACCCGCGAAACCCCCTCTCCAGGCCCAGGGGGAGGGGGTAGGGGGAGGGGTAAACCCCTCCCCGAAGGGGAAGAAGGGAGGTTGAGAACAGAGAGAGCTCGCTAAACCACTCACGCCCAAAGGGCTGGTGGGATTTCTGGCCCCTCGTGGCCCCTATCAGGCCCCGGGATGGTGTTAAATCAAGACGGCTCAGAATGAAATGCCGGCCTCGGGGAAGGGACGACGTCGGGGGTCGCGTCCTCATCCTCTTCCTCCTCCTCCTCCTTCTCCTCCTCCTCCTCCTCCTCCTCCGCCTCCTCCGCTTCCTCCTCCTCGGGTCGCCTACGGCCCCGGGGGAAACCGTGCATCTCTGGGATGCTGAAGAATTGCGCAAACTGATGCGAGAGGGGTCTCATGGCCGGCTGGCAAGGCGCGTCGTGCGGCAGCGGAACTCATTTGAGTCGTTCTGGCGCGGTTCAGGTGCATTCCCGTGAGATCTGGCGTGAGGAAGAGGTGGAGACCTCTGGGGATCGCAGATCGGAACGACGGATGTCACGGTGCTCTTCTGGGTGTCAAGATGTCCATTGGGTGAGGGAGCTATACTCGGAGAGCCGCTCAGAGCCGCTCGCCGGGTGGGGCTTGCCCCAGAGGCATGCGCTGCAGTGCCGGCGTTGAGGTCAGAGCCGCGGGCCCGTTCACGCGGCTTGGTCGAGAGATCGCTTGACACACGTGTGTTATCTCGGGCGTCAGGTTGGACACACTGGCGTACCACCGTCTCTTCGTCCTCGTCCCCTCCCGCCACCTCTCGGCGGCGAGCCCGGGGGGGAAGTGAGAAGGGGCGGCCCTTCTCAGAAGGCTCCGAAGTCCTCGGCCTTCCGAATAGTTTCTGAAACCTTCCCCGAAGGCACAGAAAACCTCTCAGAGGGCGCGAGGGCGTCTGCGAAGCCCCACGGCCTTCTCCTTCTCACTTCCCCCCGTCGCTCGACGCCGGCCCTCTCCCCCGCCCCCTCCCCTGCCGCCCCCTCGGAGGAATCCAGAGCTCGTCCGAGGCTGCCCAGAGCCAGGCGGGTATTCGGGTATACCGGAGGAGCTCCTCCAGGGATGCAGGCCTCCGGAGTCTGAGGCCCCAGCGACGAAGTGCCAACGTCTCCTTCGAAGCAGTAAGTCGGGCCTGTCCCTCTACAGCAGGAATATTCAAAAATAGTCAAGTCAAAAAATAGTCAGGGGAGGGTGTTTTTTGACTATTTTTGAGCATTTTGGGAGTATGTTTCAAATGTGTTCAATTTTTCGCCCAGAATCCCTTCTGTAGGGGGACACGCCCGAGCAAACCGAAGCATCGATCTTTGATCTTTTGATCCTGGGTCCTCGATTCGGTCCTCGATCCTCCCCTCTCTCTGCATCCTCGACGGTGCCTTCGCGCAGGCAAGCCAACCTCGGGTCTCAGCTCCGCATCCTGTCCCATCAATCTCAGCCTAGTCGCCGCTGTCCTCCTCCGCCAGCTGGGAGTCGAACCTGTGTGAGACATCCTGCTGCTGTTTTTGCATGACGTCGTGCGGGGTAGTCTCTTTTTCCCCCCGCGCTGCGAGCTTTAGCGAGGGGAACAGAGTCGAATCGCAAAGCAGGTTCTCGACATTCCCCCCTCGCTTCTCCACCCCCTCTACGGCTCCTCCCGCGCAGGCAAACAATCTTGAGCCTCAGCTCTGGAATCTCACCCTCGTCCGCCTCCACTGTACGCAGCTTTTTTTTCCGATTGCACATAACACGTTGGGGTCTTTTCACTGGAGTTCCAGGTCGGCTATGGCACGCGCCTGAGGGTAGAGAAACATTAGCGCCACGGGAAGGGCTGGGAGGGAGGGATAGGATATCAGATGAGGCGCGAGCGCACCTAGCTTGATCCCCAGCGTTGTGAACTTGTCACCCCGTGGCCCCGCAGGTCTGGACCCATTCCTGGGGACCCCAGCTTTCCATCCCGAGTCGTTGCTTGACGCTCCCGAGGCCCGAGAAGGGCCCCGGAGGCCGAACACAGCGAAGAAGCACTTCCCGTCCTCCCAGCTTGGAGTTTCGGGCTCCCTTCCCCAGAACTCCGTTGCGCTCTGGATATGGATAAGAATCTGGCCCCTGTAGAGGCTCGGTGTTTGTCCACATCCAGTGCGCCTCGGCCTTGCAGTGCCCCTTTCCAAGAGAGTCCAAGACGCATTGGATATGGATATGAATATTGCCCGCGGAGGGGGCCCCGGCGCCTGTCGCAGGACCACCCCGTGCCCCGGGGGTGGCGTGCAGACCCCCCTGGCCTCGGGAAGCCGGGCCGTCTGCGCCGCGCCAGGCCCCAGTCGACTATACGCAAGAGTGACCTTTCGCCGGAGTGACCTCTGGTGCGGGCCCGATGCGGTCCCTTGATCGCTGAGCGCAGCCCAGACCCCTTCGCGTTGTGACGAAAATCACGATGCAAGGTCTTTTGCAATGTTCGGCCTCGGGCAGGCCTCGCGAGGCCTTGTGACCGATCAGGATGAAAAACCGGTCCCAGGCAATGCGTCGAGACCTCTGGGGGTCGACGTTATGACAAAATCATGACGTTGGGGGTCTGGGAGCGGTAGCAGCGGTCTGCGCGCCCAGGTTTGGCCGCCCCGCGTCCCCCGTCAGGCCCAGGAAGGCCCCATGGCAGGCACGGCGGTCGGTGTACAGGCGCCTCCTGCACACAGCAGGTGCGTGCTCCCCCCGCCCCCCCCCACCCCCTTCAGATGAGGAAAAGGTACCCCTTGTCTCTCTCTCTCTCTCTCTCTCTCCCTCCCACTCTCTCCCTCACTCACTCTCTCTCTCTCTCTCTCTCTCTCTCGTTCTCAGAGAAGGAAAAGATACCGATGCCACTACCCTTCGCCCGTTTTCCCTTTCCTTGGGCCTCCTGGGAGGCCCTCCGTCTTCGCCCTCGAAATCCGTGCCCCGGAGCGGCGTGCAGACCTGCAGTCCTTCTGGGGCAAGGGCCGCCAGCGATTCTTGGGGCAGCGAGGGCTGCAGAAAGGGGGCTCTCTAGTGCCCCTATAGAGGGGCCCTTGAGGGCCCAGCAGGGGGCCTTCAGGGCCCGAGAGGGGCTCCTTCCCAGCCCCCCGACGGGGGGATTTTTTTGTTCAACGTCGACCCCCAGATGTCCGGATCCAGTCCCAGGGGCCAGTCTCTCGTCCCAGAGAGTTTTCTTTGACGGCCCCGAGGCCCAGGAAGGCCCTCGGAGGCCGAGAATGTGGAAAAACCTCGTGTCGTGATTTTTGTCACGACCCGAGGGGATCTGGCTTTCTCCCCCCCCAATGTATCGCGCCCCCATTACTTCGCGCCCACGCTTCGGGAATCCCCTCCACACGGGGTCCTCACCCTGGGAGGATCCTGCCGTCGCGATCTGCTCCCGGACGTGCTCGCGTCGAGGAAAAATCAGGGCGTGTTTTTTTTCGGCGGCGAGCGAGGGGGAGAATCAAGAAGGAAAAGGACTTCTCAGAAGGCTCGGAAGTCCCCTGGCCTTCTGAGAAGTGTTCTAAGCCTTCCCCGCCAGCAAAGAAAGCCTCTCAGAAGGCGCGAGGGCTTCTGAGAAGTCCCGCTGCCTTCTGAGAGGGCCTTCTCCTTCTCACTTTCCCCCCTCGCTCGCCGCCGAAATTCATGACGGGAGGTGTTTTGGGGTACAGTATTCGGCTTCTGGGAGCCCTTACCGAGCCCCGGGACCGTCAAAAAGCGATTCAGGATGAATAGTAGGTCCTGGGAAAAGAGTCGGGGTTTCTTGGGGCCCCGTATGCATTGACAAGATCAGTATCAGATCTTGGTTCGCCATACCCATATCTGAGAGTCCCCCTCCCCAATCAGCGTCAGGGGGTGATAGGATCGGTGGGAGGCATCGACCCCCAGGTGCCCATGGATCGCCGATCGGGGACCGATGGGCCCTTGCATCCTTCCCCTGCGCCCTTACTCTACGGGCTGACTGTGTCCTGGGTGCGATCCTAGGGCGCCACCTGCCTGCGGCACCGTGCGGGCGGCCTCCATGTCCTGGGCCCTCCGCCGCCCTCCCGCAGGCCCCACGGCGCCCCCGGCCGGGCTTGCGCGGCTGGGCTCCGTGTCCTCGCCGTCCGCCACGGAAGTCACCCAACTGGGCCCGTCGGCGTCTCCTCGGCGGGGCCAGGGGAGGGTCCGGGGCGGCCGGGCCGACGCCAAGCAAACCATCCCTTTCGGTGACGTCCCCCGCTGCCTCGCCGCAAGGCGTATGCATGCGGCTGGAGGGGGGCTCGAAAGGCGACGATGGCGTCGCGGGAGGGGGTGGTCTGCCAGGGGTCGGTCGGGCCGCGCCCGAGAGGGCAGTGCGTCCGCCTCACCGCCGCCAGTGGAGCGGAGGTGATGCCCTGCGCCGGACGGAGCGCGAGCAGGGTGCTCTGGAGAAGCGATATGAGGGGATAGGCGCAGGGGGGAGGCATCGACCCCCAATCGACCACTGATCGCCGTTAGAGGCTCGATAGCCAGCCCCGCCCAGGACGATGCGGAATTGCTATCGGGGGCCTGTCGACGATGTATCGGAGATGTATCGCCGAGTCCAGATCGATGTTCCCCCTCTCAGCCAGTCCCCCCAATCGTTGCCCCTCAGGGGAGGCAAGGCACCGCGGATCCAGGGTCGAGGCAATACGGAAGCAGCAGCTGGTGATCCCTCGCTGCCGTGGCGGTGCCAACGGTTTTTTCTCTCGCTTCCCCCAGCCCCCCTCTGGCAACAAGCGTTGGGGGAATGCGCCTTGATGCTATCACGCCTCAGACGGGGCGAGGACGAGGATACATCCGTTCCAGAGCGTTCCCGAGCGCTCTCAGAGCGTTCCGGAACGCTGTGAGAAGGATGCGGCGCCCGAGACATCCTGCAGAGCCACCGGACTCAGAGATTCTCGATGTATCCTCACCCGATTTTATCCTCGCGTCTTGGCATCGTGTTATGAATGCGCTCTGAGTCCATCCCGCCCATCCGCCGTGGGGAAAGCACGCACCTCCCGCGGAGGCCCTCTCGACTTGGGCTTGCGCGGGCCAGTCTAGGCTGGGCCGCAGGCGTTGCTCGTGGAAGAGGCGTGCATCTCCAAGGCTCTCAGCCAGGTCCCAGTCCCTCCTGTTTTGAGTTCTCGTTTTGGGTAGAGCACTGTGGTCTCCATCCGTTTCTCCCTCCTCCCCTTCTCCCCGGGGTGGGCTTGGTGGCGGCGGGGCGCTGGGTGGCAGGCTGGCCGCCGTTCCTTCATTCCGCCCTGCGCCTCCGTACTGGTCGGCAGCGCCAGGCTTAAGTCGGGCCTGTCCCTCTACAGGAGAAATATGTTTTTTTTGAATAGTTGTTGACCATGTTGAGGTATTTTGTTACTATTTCCAATTTTCGCCCCAAATCTCCCTGTAGGGGGACAAGCCCGGCCTAACGCCAGGCGGCGCGCGCCTCCCCCCCCTCCCCCGCTCCTCCTGTCGGCACGGTCCTCCTCCTGCGCTGCTCCGTGGGGCGCTGCGCACTGCATGGCCGTCGCCACTTTCGTAGGCTGAGGACGAGGAGGAGGAGGAGGAGGAGGAGGAGGAGGAGGAGGAGCCAAGATACTTCCAAGTCCGCCCAAGAAGCCTCCAAGACGGCCCGGGGATGTCCCAGAGGAGAGCGGAGGCTTTCAAGGAGGCCTCTCGACAGGTTCGCTGGGTGTCTAACTTCCCAGACACCCCCTCGCGTGGTGAGGACACAAGGCTGGAGGTTCTTGGCCGTTTTTGGATTCTGGGGGCCTTCGCTAGGCCCTTGGACTGCCCACGAGAAGCTCAGGAAAGGTCGCCTGCGGGAAAGGATGGCGACGAGGACCCCTGGGATCGCCAAAGGCCGCACGAGAGCTGCGCAGGCGCTGGATTTCCCCCTCCTCCCCTGCTCGCCCCCTCCTGACCTACTCCCCACTTTCTCCACACACCATTCCGACCTTCCGCCTCCAGCGTCCGAGCATTCGTTCCCACATCCACCCATCGAGCTCCAGGCTACAGTCAGCCCGCATAGTAAGGATGAGCAACGTTCCAAGGTTACCCTTGCGTCCTTCCCCTTCGGCCCATCCTTTTGGCCGCTTTCGCCGGCCGCGCCCCGCTCGCAAAGTGTCGGCATGGCCTCCCAGGGCCCTTGCATCCTCATCGTGCGTCCTGATTCTACGGGTGAACTGTGCACCATATCAGCACTCCGACATCCAGAGCATCCGACTCCCACACCACCTCCACGTCGACCACCAGTCGCCCAGGACGACTCCCGAGGGCTCTGCCCCCCCACCCGTGCCTCCCTCGGCCGGTCCTGCCCGACCGACATCGCTTCGCCTCGCTTCGCCCCGCCTCGCTTCGCTTCGCTGCCTCCGACGTTGTGAGGGCCCGGATTTCTCTGCGGCAGCTGTCCGCCCGGGCCGGGCCGACATGCGAGGGCCTCAGGGAACGAGGCTTGTGGAGGCCGATCAGTGGAGAGGAAACATGCTGCCAAATAACTTCAGATGTGTTAAACATGTTTAAACCATTAAATGATATGTTTGAAACATGTTTAGAACATTTGTCCAGACATTTTAAACACATCTTCAATTCAATGATAGGACTGTTAGGGTGTCCACTGTCGTGGCATCCATGCCACAACACGAGGCGGGACAGAAGACGCACGGTTGCGAACAGCTCGCTGCGCCCGGAGTTTTGGGGGGCCCGGCGTCCGCCAGTCCGCGTCCTCCCTTTCGATCCTTCAAGGGCTCAAACAAAGCCCCTACCCTGGTTTACGAGGCGCTGTGCGCTGAACCTACTGTGGGCTGACAGGGTAAACCCTGCGCATCGCGCGTGTCGGGCAGCTCACTGGCGGCTCTCTGGCCTTTGGGAGCTCGCAGGAGGTTCATTGACCCGCACTTGTAACCCAGTGTAGGAGCGTTTTTTCATCCGTCAAATCCTGGCTTCTGAATTTTGTAGAGCCAGGCGTTTTCGCCTTTCGTCGGGCCCCGGGACCCTCGCAGATCGATCCGGCTGGAAAAACGACGCAGAATGGTGCTCTGGTCGCGATTTTTGGCTAGGTTGCACTTTTCTCGCAACGACGGATCTCAGATGGGGTCCTGGGCTCTGGGCGTGATTCTCTACGATGTTGTAATTTCTTCGCGACGTCGGATCTCAGGGTCGCCCTCCTCTCGTCGACCATCCTTCGATTTCGGAACCCCTGCCAGCGTCTCAGAACTCTCACCATGCTTCCCCGTACCCTCTCGCGTTGTGAACACATCACGACGGGAGGTTTTTCGCTCTTTTCGGCTTCCGGGGGCCCTTACCAGGCCTCGGGATCGTCACAAAGCGATTCAAGAGTTAAAACTGGTCCGGGGGAAGGGGTTCAGATCTCTGCGGGTCGACATTGAAAAACACGGTGCCGGTGGCCCGGGTTGGGCGGGGCGAGAACGATGATAAATCCGTTCCAGAGCGTTCCAGAACGCTCTCAGAGCGTTGTTACGGAACGTTCTGAGGAGGCCGCGTACGATTTTCGGATTTGATTTTGAGTCTCATTTTTGGAAGTTTTTTGGGGCTCAAGTTCGGAGCGATGCTGACCCCCTGCAAGTGCAGCCGTTTCCACCAGCCCCAAAATTGGGTTGGGTCGTGGTGGTCGCTGGCGGCGCTGCACAACTCAACTCAAGCTGAACTTGAAAAGCACCTTCTACTCAACTCCCTCCGTCTCCAACACACCATCCAGTAATCAACACCTTCCGTCCCCGACACAGCACACGATACTCAACAGGCTCCCTCCCCAAGCTGAACTTGGAAAAAACCTTTTACTCAACTCCCTCCGTCTCCAACACCATCCAGTACTCAACACCCTCCGTCTCCAACACACCACCCGATACTCAACAGGCTCCCTCCCCAAGCTGAAACTTCCTCCGTCTCCAACACATCATCCACTGCTCAACACCCTTCTTCTCCAACACAGCACCCGATACTCAACAGGCTCCCTCCCCAAGCTGAACTTGAACATCACCTTTTACTCAACTCCCTCCGCTTCCAACACACCATCCAGTACTCAACACCCTCCGTCCCCACCACAGCACCCGATACTCAACAGGCTTCCTTCCAAAGCTAACCTCGAAATCACCTTTTACTCAACTCCCACCGTCTCCGGCACACCGTCCAGTACTCAACACCCTCCGTCTCCAACACACCACCCGATACTCAACAGGCTCCCTCCCCAAGCTGACATTGAAAATCACCTTCTACTCAACTCCCTCCGTCTCCCACACACCATCCAGTACTCAACACCGTTCGTCTCCAACATTGTTCCCGATACTCAACAGTTTTCTTCGACATCACACAACCAGCCATTATGTGACACTTCTTCCTTTACGGTTGCTGCGCCCGCCGTCCGCCCCCCCTTGTTCTCTTGGCATCTACCAAGAGAAAAGGGAGGGTTCTTGGTGCGTGCGGAGACCTATATATGTATATATGTATATATGTGTATGCATGCATGTACGTATGTATGTCTGTCTGTTTGTCTGTCTGTCTGTCTGTCTGTCTGTATTGTATTGTATGTATGTATGCATGCATGCATGTATGTATGTATGTATACTTCCATTCAAAGATATCCGAAAGATGCCTTGTGGGTTCGCGGGGGCCCCCGGCCCCCAGAGCCCTCAGAGAACCCCGAAGCGGCTCCGGAGGGCTCCCGGAAGGGCCCGAAACGGCACCGGAGCTCCCCAGAAGAGCCCCGAGACGGCCCGTGGAGACCCCGACCGAGACGACCCAAGACGGCTTTCAGGCGGTCCCAGGTGTTCTCCAGACGGCCCCATGAGCCCCAAAGACGCCCCCAGACGGCTCCAGGCGGGTCCACGGGGTCCCCCGAAAGGGCTCCGTCAAGCACAAATCGTCACAGCCCCTTCGGAAAATTGACATGTTCAGCAGATTCGGCTCATTGGTCTTCCAAGCGTCCACAACGGCCCCAGAAGCTTGCAAGATCGCCCAAGACGACCCCCAGGACGGCCCAAGATGCCAAGACGACCCAAAACGACCCCACGAGAGGCCCAAGAGGGGCTCAGGACAGCCCACGATGGCCCCAAGACGGCCTGATAGGCGCCCAAGATGACCCAAGACGGCCCCAAGACGGCCCACGAGGCGCCCTGCCGGCCCAAGAGGGCTCCGAGAAGCCCCCGAGGAGCCCCCATAGAGCTCCCAAATTGGCTCCCAAGAAGCTTCAAAATTGCTTCCAACAGAGGGGGACGGACGAGAGGCGAGAGGCCCCTCGCAGGCGCAAAACAACAATGTTTTGACGCTCCCGTGGCCCTGGGGCTGCCAGGCTGAGCTCCCTACTTTGCCGCGACGCCGTTCCGACGCCTCCGATGCGGCCCGAGACGGCGCCGTGTTTGCCCGAACCCGCTCCCGCGTCCGCCGCGATCTTGGCGCGAATCTTCCAACGTTGCTCAGGCCTGGACTCCTGAATTTCGCCTCTTGCGAAGCCCGAACACTTCGGCCCCCGTTTCGATGCATTGGGCGCCTTCGGTGGGGGAACAGCACTAGAACAAGCTTCAAGGGATCTACGGCAGTAGCTGGCAGCGTCGCACCACCCAGCGCGTGCCACCATGCTTCGATCCGCCCAACTTCGTGGATTTAATCCACGGGTCCACACTAGTATGTATATGTATATGTATATGTATATGTATATGTATATGTATATGTATATGTATATGTATATGTATATGTATATGTATATGTATATGTATGTGTGTGTATATATATATACCTGGGGGCGAGGCCGGGGGCCCCAGAACAGGTGCCCCCACCCCCCATGGGAAGACCGGGGCTCATTTTCCCTGTGTTTTTACAGGGTTTCCGCGTCCTGGGCCTCGGAGGCCGCCGCCTCCGACCCCCCATGGGCCAGGAGGGCCTCCAGAGGCTCCCAAGACGGCCCAAGCGGGCCCCGAGTCGCCGAAAGACCGCTCCAGGACGCCCAAGATAGGCCCAAGACGGCCCGAGAGGCGCCCCAAGGCACTCCACGACGCTTCAAGACGCCTCTCCAGAGCGCTTCCAGAGGCCGAAATCGTCAAGTTTACGAATGTTTTCGACCGATTTTGGCCTTCCAGCCTTTTCGGCTGTCCGACGTTCCAAGATGGCTCAATAGGCCCCCAAGAGTGCCCCAAGACGGCCCAAGAGGGCCCCAAGACGGCCCCAGAGTCGCCCAAGACAGCCCAACAGAGCCCCAAGACGGCCCCAAGATGCGCCCAAGAGGGGGACCACGACTCCAAAATTCGACCCTCCGGCTTGAAGAGTGCCCCAGGAGGCCCCAAGGAGCCCCCAAGAGGCCCCAGGATGCCCCCAACAGGCACCCAGGAGGCCCAAACGAGGCCTACAGAGGCCACAAAACAGCCCCGAGGAGGCCCCACAACGGTCCCAAAACGGCTACCGAGAAGCTGCGAAACTGCCTTCACGACGTCCCCGACAGGCCAACCACGAGATCCAAAGCAACACCCATGAGGCCTCTGACCCACCACCCAGGGCACGGTGGCGGCAGCAGTGACAGCACTTGTGCACAGCATGTTCCGGCGGGAGCCTTCCGGAACACGCTGCAGGAGGAGGAGGAAGATCAGGAGGAGAGAGAGCTGGAGTGGGAGGAGGAGGAGGGGGACGAGGAGGAGGAAGAGGCCTCCCAGACAGCTCCAAGATAGCCGAAGAGGCTTCCAAGAGGGCCCTGGGCGGCCCACGAGGGCTCCAAGGCGGTGCCTGAGGCGCCCAAGACGGCCCGAGAGGGCCCCAAGACGGCCCCAAGAGAGGCCCAAGAAGGGAAACACGAACCGAGAATCCGAGCTTCGCGCCGGCGCCGTCTGGGAATCAACTAACCCTATAGCAGTTTCCCCAAATGCAACTCTTGGGAGGGTAAATTCAGGAACGGCGCTGGCATGTCCCTGGTCGAAAACGGGCCCAGTCTGGGCGAATCCCGCCTAGTCCCGACTAACCCGACTTACTTATGCTAAATCCCGCTCAACTTGGCTGAATCCCGGGCTTTCATCTGGCCAGATCCAGCTGAATGGCCTTTGCTTGATCGCCCATGAACAGTTCTGGCGAGGACTTCCCATAAGTTGGTTCCTAACATGCCCCGACGGCGCCGACGCAGACCACGACGTTGCCAGGGGGGAATGGAAGGGGTGCGGGGCGTCTCCAGTAACGGGCGTCTTCGTGAGTCGCTTGTGTATCCCACGATTTTTTTTTTATAGGGTCGGGCGATAACCCGGGTTATCGGGCTTGCCCCCCCTCCCCCGCTCCCCCCAGGATAACCCAACTTTGCCGGTTGTGCAGGTCCGCGGGAGGGGGGCGCGGGCATATGCAGGGCTGCACACAGCGCGAGGGTTAGGTTATCGGCCGGCCTCCTCCTCCTCCTCCTCCTCCTTCGCCCCCGGTAAACCTGTATTATCGCCGATTCAGAGAAAAACGGTCTCCACCCTGGATGCTTCGCTTCAATTCGGGCGCATGGCAGTTCGGCGAGCTCCGTGGCTGCACGAGTGTGCCGCCGAGCATGTCTCGTCGTGCTGTGTGCCCGCTCCTACTCCGCCCCCTCCCCAGAGACGCCCTCCCACCCGAAGTCCGCTCAGGTTCGACTCAAGTCAACCTCCTTCTCCTCCTCGTCTCCTTCTCGTCTCCTCCTCCTCCTCCTCCTCCTCCTCCTCCTCACGAGCGGAGCGACTGGCTCCAGGCAGGCCCCCAGATGGTTTTCGATTGGGTGAGGTCGGGGGATCGCGCCGCATCACTGACCGAGTTTCTCCACGCCGACGTCGCGGATGCATCGCCGACGTCGCCGATGCATCGCCGACGCATGCATCGGCGATGCGTCGCGATCCTGCGACCCCTTCTACGGCAGGTTCGCGTCGTGTCGACCAACGGTGACCCCACCGCGGGCGTTCCACGTTGAACGCCGCCGGCGACCCAGAACCGGTCGACATTGGACGATCTGACGTTTCGGAAACGGTCGATCGTGCAAGGTTGAACGATCCCCGCGGTGTCAGGAACCAGCGCGAGGGTCGACACGACCCGAACTTGTCGTACACGGACCCCATCTGGGAGGCCTCGAAAGTCGAGCGGCCGACCCCTCCGGCAGCGGACGGCCTCCCACCTCCTTTCGGTCCCCGCCACGGCGCCGCCGTGGTCGGGGGCAGGCGTCGACCTGGTGGGCGGGGGCTGAGAGCTGACGCATCCAACCCTCCTCCTGCCCTCGGATGAGCGTTTTTGGGATTTTGCAACCCCAGGGTAACGCTCGTTACCCAGGCCAGCACCCCCCCGCCTGGACACCCTCCTTACATGCTGTGGTGCTCACAGGCGATTGCGCCGGTGGCGCGGACGCACCCTGGCGGGTGCACGCCGCGGCCGCCATTACCGCTACGCTCCCTCCCGACCCCCGCCCCCGGTCCGATATCCGGATCAATCCCGCTTCATTCAGTGCCGTTTAACCGATCCCTATCCCCATTCCCATCCCCATCCCGATCCCCACCATCCCACCACCCCAGTTGGGGATGTGCCCCTCGGAAGCCCAAAGGGAGCCGCCTACATCCCCATCTCGGGGGTAAATCGGCCAGTGGGGCCCAGGCCACGCCAGCGGGGATAGGGATCGGTTAAACGATGCTCATTCATCTGGTTTCATCCGGCTCAGTCCCGCTCAGTCCGCGGCCTCATCCTGCGTATAGCAGCCCCCCATTGGGGCCCAATTTCCCCAAAGTCCTTTAGACAAAGACCTCCCAGTAGTTGCCTACTGAGGCATGGGCCATACTGCCTCTGAGATCCGCCGTTGCAAGAAAGGTGCATCCTGGCAAAAAATCGCGACCAGAGCACACTTCTACGTCATTTCTATCGTAGCGCCAGATCGATCCGTGAGGGTCCCGGGCCCCGAACTTGAGAGCGACAGCGCCTGGCACGACAACATTGAGTCGCCAGGATCTCAGGGTCGATCGCCCCCGCCCCCGCCCGCCAGCGGGGCGGTCAGGAGCTCCGCCCGGCTCGGGCCGGCGCCGCCCGCCACAGACCACGTGCGCCCAGGGCCGCCGGCGCCGCCGAGGACACGCCGCGCGGGCGTCGCTCTCCGAGCCTCGTCGAGCAGGGGTGGGGCGTCCAGGCTGCCTACGGCAGGTTCGCGTCGTGTCGACTCCGGCGTTGGTTCCTGACATCGCGGGGATCGCTCAACTTTGAGTCGGCACGAACGAAATGGGTGCGGAAAGAATGGGTACAATGCCCATTAGCAGTTCTTGTTCATTTTGAACAGGACTCGCTGTCGGTGTCGCCGCGGCCTGTGTACATTTGAGACAGAAGGCCTCCTGCCCAACAGCGGCCGCTGTTGGTTTGGGACAACGCATTTGCTGTTGGGCAATCTACCCATTTTTTCCGTACCCATTTGGGGCGTCCAATTGAACGATCGGCCGTTTCCGACACGTCCGATCGATCAGCATCGACCGATTTTGGGTCGCTGGCGGCGTCCACTGTGGTACGCCAACGGCGGGGTCGCCGCCAGTCGACACGACGCGAACCTCGTCCCGGAGATCCGACGCTCCAACAAAAATTCGAGCGGCTGGTGTTTGGCCGTTTCACGCCTCGAGGGATCGGGGCTCAGGGGACGGGGGTCCATGCAAGCGGGGGACAGCCAGAGCGCCGGATCTTGCAGGATCCTGCGGGGCCAGGGGCGCACTTGCCCGGGTTGGGTGCAGGGGTCCGCAGGATCCTGCTTGATGCTGCAAGGCCTGGCTGAAGCGGGTTTGGGTCAGTGCGTCCCCGAGCCTTTGGGGGGCCCCGCCAAGCCTCGGGACCGTCAATAACGACTCAGGACGGGAAGTGGTCCAGACCTCTGGGGCCCACGCACCGAAAGAATTGAAGCGGCTGGACGTCCTGATACAGGCGCACCGAAGACTGTTCTAAGAACCTCCTGTGGTCTGCACGAAGTGCTCTTGAAGAATTCCTGGCTGAAACTGTCTTGTTTCACGCGCCGGTCTTTTATGCTCTAAGGGCATTGTTTCTGGTGTTGGAGAAAACTCTTGTTTTCTCAGGATATGTCGTGGCAGGCCCATAGGAATGCCGGGTCGGTCGGTCCCTGCTCAACTGGTCTCGTTCGGGAGCAGCGCTGGGGGACGGCTTGACTTCCAGATCTGCGGTTTCCGAGACTCTCGTCGGTTCTCGTCGGCTTGCTAGACTCGGGACGCCTTCAGCGGCCGCCTCGCCGATAGCGCTCCTGGGGTGCCAGGATCGTCCCGAACGGCCGCCGGAGAGCCGAATTATGACCCGAAAGCCGGGGGGTAACGTAACGGGTGGATAGGCTCAGGTGGGGGATGTATCGACCCCCAATCGCGCACTCATCGCCAAAAGGGGCTTGACAGCCAACCCCGCCCAGGAACTAGCGGATTCGCTATCGGGGGCCGATCGCAAATCTATCGGCGAGGTATCAGCGATCCCGTATCGATGTTTCGAGGCGAGGATCGAGGAGATCGAGGATCCCAAATCTCCGACAATGGGATTTTTCCGATCCAGCCGGCCTCCAGGCCTGCTGTTGGGCCCAGGACCACCAGACATGGATCCGGGAAAGGGGTCAAGAGCTCGCAGCTGGGGACTGAAAACAGAAACCTAGGAAATAATCAGTAGGCCTTGTCCTAGAAACATCGGGAAATATCGCATGGGGCAAAAACGAGGATACATCCGTTCCAGAGCGGTCGGGAACGCTCTCAGAGCGTTCTGGAACGCTCTGAGAAGGCTGCGGCGCCCGAGACATCCTCCAGAGCCGCCAGGTCTCAGGCTTTCTCGATTTACCCTCACGCGATTTGATCCTCGTCCTAGTTTCGTCTTATCGTCTCCGCTCATCGGAGAACTTATAATGCTTCGGGCACCAGGGCCGGTGGGGAAGCGATCTCCCCTGCAGAGGCCCGCGATGCAGGGTCCTCTGGGCGGGCAGGATGAGCAGGAGTAGGGTTCCGAGGGCGGATTCCCGGAGACTTCCTCGCTGGGCGCTCAGAGCCGGGGCTCCTACCCGAGATGGGTGGTGGGAGAGTTGCGTCAGCTTCAAAGGTGTGCAGCTCTTTCTAATTGTTGAGCTGACCAACGCGTCCCCCTCCCCCCTCCCTCCTCCGCCTTTCTCCCCTGCGAGCGGCGAGAGTATTTGTCGTTCGTTGCTTGCATGCGCTGTAGCGATATTGCTGTGAGGGCGCCGCCAGAAACGTTTGCTCATGTTGCTTTTGGTGCTAACGATATCGCCGCGGGGGTAGTGTTGCCTTCCTGTAGGGGCCACTATCGGAGAACCCCTCGGATTCGGCACACCAGACCTCCAGCGTCATGAGTTTCTGAAGGCCAGCGTCTCTTCATCGATTCCGTCCGCTCTGCGCAACTGGAGCATGGATAATCAAGTTGGCAGATGGGTTGGAGTCAAACAGAGGCAAAGCGTCCTAGCTCGCCTATAGGCCTACCAAACAATGTTCTAAGAAGCTTTTGTGGTCTGCACGACATGTTCTTAGAACATCTCTGGCCGAGACTGTCATGTTTTAACACGTTGGGTTTATGTTCTAAGACATTGTTTTTTGTTGTTAGAACATGTCTAGGTTCTGGGAGCATTTCAAGGTAGGCTTATAGGAATGCCAGGACGGTCGGTCCCTGCTCAATGAAGCGGGCGCCCGGGCCGTCGATAACAGGGACTCTTGTGTTTTCAGGCGGGGAAAAAACACACAGACACAATTCATCGTCGATTCCCAAGAAAATGTAGGAAAATATGGAAGGGGGGGGAGACAAAAACCCAGAAAATATGGAAGCACATGGGGAATCCGGTTAGTTGTGTCTATTTATTTGTGTGTCCCAGGGCCCCTTCATCTGCCCCATGTCGAGGCTCGAGGCTCGAGGTGCCCGACCGAGGCTCGGGAATCGGTGATCGAAGGCCGCCAAGAGGATCGATTGGTCGAGGGTCCAGTGCGCAGAGCCCCAGCGTAAGGGCTCTTTCACAGCACCGACCTGCAGAGGTCTTGCCCCCATTCTTGGCCACGCGTGCGTTGACGCGTGAACACGCGCTACCCCCCCAGACTGCAGGCACCCCCCACGGCCGGACTAAAGGTACCCTTCCCCCCGACTACTGGTACCCCGCCCCGGACTATTGGTCCCCCCCCCTGGACTATATCCAGGTGTACCCCTCCCTTGGACTACTGGTACCTCCCCCGCACTACAGGTAACCCCCAGAACTGTTGAGGGACACAGAGTAGGGGAGGGATGAAGACTACTTAAAAGCACCCCTGCTGCTTAGACAGTGCGGGCCTTGTCTGTAGATGTAAGCCCGGCGCCTTCTAAGAAGCAGCCTCCTCCGAAGAAGCCTTATTCCCCTTCCCCTACCCCCTTGCGCGCTCCGCCAATATTCCCTGGGTCCGTTTTTTCATCCCGCGTCGTTCTTTGACGCTCCCGAGGCCCAAGAAGGCCCCCCAGAGACCGCAGATCGCGAAACACCCTCCACTGATTTTTGTCCGGGCGGGGCCCAGGGCCGAGAGCGAGGGTCAACAAAAATCCTAAGACCGAATCCAGACCTCCGACGTCATGATTTTTCATGTCGTCGACCCCCAGAGGTCTCGACCCATTCCTCGGGACCGGCTTTTCATCATGAATCGTTTTTTCGACGGGGACGCGCGCCCGGCCCGCGCGCCTCGCCGCCAGGAGCACGCTGCGCCCCGGCCCGCCGCCGCCGCCGCCCGGGCCGTCGCGCGCCGGCCCCGTGTCCCCGTCGCCAGCGATGGAGGCCGCTATGGGGCAACGATAGGCTCGGATGCAGCTCCTTAGCCTCCGACGACGCGAGAGGCCCACGTCGAATGTTTCGGTACTTTTCGGCCTCCAGAGGCCTCCGCCGGGCCCTGGGAGCGCCCCGAAAAATTACAATTCATGCAGGATGCCAGACCGGTTCTGGGGGAAGTCTCCAGACCTCTGGGGGCCGACATTGCGAGAATCTCGTGACGTCGGATCTCAAGGCTCCTGGGGGGTCAAATTCTGACTTTCGCGTCCTCTCAAATCTGGTTTAAATCGGCTGAATCCCGCTTGATCCCGCTCAATCCAGCGTAATCTGTACCGATATTGCTACCCTTCGCCCGTTTTCCCTTTGCTCGGCATCCTCGGAGGCCCTCGTCGGCACCGCTGGATTCGCCTCGAAATCCGCGTCAGAACGCGCCCAGGAAGAGGTCCGGAGAGTAGCGATATC